TGGGATGAGCTGCAGCCCTTGCCCATCAGAGGAGAATATCTGCTCATAATGATGATGAAATGGGGGACCTGCTTTCAAAATGGCTTACTGCTCTATTGGTAATTCTTTTTCCACTAACATAAGACTGCAGCCAAGTATAACCACAAAATGATTGCTGTCCTCAGCCACTAACAATCCGTAGAGCTTCTGGCTGTTTTAACCATCAATCTCATTCAGCTGACTGATGGAGGATGCAGATGGAGGAAAAGGAATCCACTTCAATGAAATCAGCTGCTTCTCTTACAGAATTCTCCACCTTCCAGCCAACAGCTCTTCTCAAGCTAATAATGTCAGATGGTCTCCCAACAAGGTACAGCGAAATGAAGAGAGACCCCTCTAGCTTTACCCTCTGGCCAAATTTGGCCAGGATCGCTTGAACACAATCCAGTGCCCCATGGTGCATTTTCAGACCAAGCTGTTCTCTTCCCCAGCTGTCCTGCGCAGTCTTCCAGATATTATAAACATTTGCATAGTTCTTACAAGACAACCTGTGCTGCTGGAGTGCAAGGAAGTAAAATGATGCCAGCAATGAGGGGTTTCTCATTTTCATTACTTCCTCTCCTTCTAATTAAATGTGAGTAATGTTGGCAGTATCACCAGTGCACCAGGCCAGGAGTACTCATTGGTGCAGAGCTTCTCAAACTGTGGTCTACAAACTATCGGCAGCAACAAAGACAGAGGAAGAGACCCAGAGCTGGACCCTAGAATCAGATTAAACAGGTTCTTGGGGTTTTCCCCACATAGATCCAGGTGCATGCACTAGTGCTACCTGCCACTTCTTTGGCTCTGTGTTTCCATACATTTCAGATTTGCACTTTGTGTCTTACAAGCCAAGATAAAGCATTTCCAGGGCTGTATCAGTTGGGAATTTTAATATGGAGCAAATGGCAAAAGACAGAAAAGTGCCTAGCCTCAACTCTTCATCCAGGAATGTGGAAAGCAGAGCTCTACTTGCTCATTTCAGCCACAGATGGCAACTTCCAAGTTTTCAAGAGAGCAGACACCATTCCCCTGCATCACTGGGAGGCTACCCAATGAAATTAGAGATTTCACAAAACTTTTTGAGAGCTTTGACTGCTTTGTAGTGCATACAAATGTAGTATGTTTTAACAATGGAAAGGAGACACATGCACAGAAATAACTAATGGTAAGTTTGATAAATAATAAACTTCTCTGCCTCCTTTCTTTTTGTTGCCATCTCCTCTTTATAACTAGATTTCTAACAATAGTATCTTGCTGTTGAATTTCTCTATTGGTTAAAGCATTACCTGAAGAGTCAGCTATAGCTATTCAGTTATTTGAAGGGCAAACTGCTACCTTTCTAGGTGGTTTTCCCTAGCACAGGATCTAAGGAAAGCACAAGCCACTGGCAACAGAACTATAGTTAGCAAATTTCCTTTTTTGAGTCTTGAAGGTTTGGGGGCTAGAAGTTGAAACAAGTAGGGATGCTGCATAAGTCAAGGGGATTTAGGGAATGATGCTTTTCTTTCTACAGAACTCTCTCAACCTTTAGGATATATCTCATCTTTTTCACAAAAAAAAAAAAAAAAAAGAAAAAGAAAACAGAGAGAAGGCACCAGAGCCTTGGATTAAAAGCACAGGAAAAGTTTGTTTTACTGACTGTCTGGATGTCTGGAGGAGAATGTGGAAAACAAATGTTCTTCCCTGGGTATGTCACAGAGAAATAAAAATATTTCATTATGAAATAAAAATATTCTGCTCTGCGATCATCTGAGGTGATCTTCAGTCTCAAGGGTTCAGCAATTCAACAAATGAAAATCTAAGTCAATAAAAATGAATGAAGCCAGGCAAGTATTCTGTATCACGTAACCAGTTATTTTGGGAGCTTACAAACCAGTGAGTGCAGTGAGACAATGATGACCCATCTGCATCTGGCACTGTTCCAGGGAATGGCTTTTGATGGAAATTCCCATTTGAGAAGCAGTGCTGCTCTCTAATATTGTTTTGCCCGTGCTTCAGGACTTTAATACCCCAGAGTAGCTGCAGATGCACCAAGAGCAATTTGCACAGGGCTCCTCATGGAGAAATTAGCTATTTTAGGAGTATCCAATTCTTTTCTCTACAATAATAGCTGCTAGTCTGCTGTACCAATGGACTGATTCAGCATCAACACTGACAAGGTACTTCAGCCTCTGACACTTGTGAAGGAGCTTTGTGCTCCCTTTAACCATCAGAAAGGGGAGGAGAAATTTGCTCTGTTTTCAGTTATAGGACAGCTTTTAAAAATTTTACAGCATGAGCACAACACCTAATCCAACAAAGCCTGCCAAGAACATTTAAAATCAAGGTCTCAGAGAATTTGCTTCCTATAAATTCACCAGTATTGTAAGGAAAGGATCTTTTCCTCAGAAAGGCAGCACAAATCCCACTGGAGTTGCACAGGGCTGAGAACTGTTTTCTTCCACATTGTGGAAAAGACAGCTGAAAGTACTGGGAAATAGGCTGTAGGGATACACAAAATGTACTGGAGTTAATGAATAGGAACAGGAAGAAAAAAAATGAAAATATGATTTCTGACAGAAATCAAAGCATTTCCTCAAAACAGCATCAAGAGCAGGAACAGGCTATAACAGGCACGTAATTCATTTAAAGCAATGACTGCTCTCAATTACATGAAAAATAAATTCCTCTTCCTACCTAAACTATTGCCTGTTACTAACCAACTACCTAGAGAAGGGTGGAGAGGAAAGGTGAGGCCAGCAAAACTTCCTTGAGCATGTATGCAAAGAGAAAGTCTATCTTCCTGCAGAGATGCTTTCCTTTAATTTCACAAAGTAAAACATGACAGATAACTAAAAACAACATGAAAAACAAAACAACAGCATCGTCAACCTGTAATCATTCTAAGATTTCTGATCACTAGAAATGGAAATTTTTTCTCCTTTTACTAAGGAGAGGCTAGCCAGTACCTTTAAAAATCATCTCTTTTCAGTTACTTTCTTCACTGTGAGAAGGTGAAGAGCTGCATCTATTACAACTCCATGCTGTGCAAACCTCATTTGGACATGATGATCATCCATCACTCCTGCTGTGCAGGTAGCATGTGAAAGGGAAACAAACCAGAGACCGTGCTGCAGTCAGTGTGTGACACCACCCACCGTCCTGCTCGTGTGCTTCAGCTCACCTAGAGCCCAGCAGCCACACAGGCATTCTCTTTGTGGGACCCCTGCCTTTTCTCTGCCTCCAAGCATAGCTTAGAGCAGCTCTGACGGTTTTAGCAGGGAGACAGAAACCTCTCTCTCTCTCCCAAAATATTAAGGTGTTCCTACTGAAAAGCATGCCAAAGATATATGTGCAACCTTGCCTTTGTAAACACACACACATTACTTGCAGCAGTACCTCTTCTCATCACATGTTTCAGTGGAAGATTAATATTGTCAGAGAAATCAGAATGCCTGTATCCTTTGAGGCAGTGCTGTGCACAGCCCTGAAAAGAGCTATTAATGCCAGCACCCTACTACTTTTCTCTAGCTCACACTTCAACTAACTGTCAGTGCTATCTATAATCTCAACCAGAGACAGTCAGTAGAGGCACAAAACTCAAAAAAGCAAGAAAGATAGTATTTGCCTTTTTCAGAAAGCTCTGGAGTAAGCTGCAATAAATATTAGATGACTTTTAGGGAAGCAGAAGCAACCAGAATTAGCCTTGAAAGACAGAATGCAGCCTTAACAACACTGTTTCTACCAATTCACCTAGGATGCAAAGAGAGCAGCTTCCTTGTGTTTCACAGCTCTGGTTAGTACTGTGCCAATTCAGGGGACTTGCACTAGTTTGTCACATCCTGACTCTTGGTATGGCTCAGGTCAGCAGGAGTTGCCTGCACTCTGTGTTTTCTGATGCACTGCAGCATGCCTTGCTCTGAGCAGCTGTACAGCAGCGCACACTAGAGAACAGCTCTCTCCATCTCACAGCCCTCCGAGCACCTCCAACAAGTCAGGGAGCACAATCAGCAACAGAGCACAGTAACATCCAGCTGCAAACACACAGCCCCTCCTTAAGTGCCACGACAGGAGGGGTGTCACTCCACAATACTCCTGATTTCCCTCAGCACGTTCATAAGCCACCTGGGAGGAACAAGCCCTCTAAAGGCACCTCCTGAGGATCGTGTAACGGACCTTCCCACATATGATTCTGGACAAGAAACTGAACTAGAAATCCTGTCCTGCCCTAGCAAACATGCTGTTCCCTTTTTCACAGGACTAACAGCATTTGTGACGTGGGTCCCCCCCACTCGCTTCTTTAGTCTCAACTACAGCCTACACTCCATTACAAGGGAGTGAAGTGCCCAGCCACCTAATTTATTAAAAAGATGATGACACACGCACGCCTCACAGTGATTTCATAAGCTCCTGGCACAGAGTAGCAGCCCCAGAAGCAGAGAGGAGCACTCTGGTCTCTCTCCACCCACATCTTCAACAGGGAATGGCAACGCCAGGACCCACCACTGGCAGCAACAGAGAATGATTACCTAGAAATTCCTGATACAGGCTTTAATGTGCTGATGTACCAAGTATGCATCATACCATCTGCAACAAAGCAACAGATGTAAGCACGTGCTGAACCTCACAACCATGAATGGCCTCAGTGATTTCTCTAAGACTATGCATAACTTTTGAGGCAAACATAAGAATGAAAGATCAGGGCACAAACAAGTATACAGCTCTCAGGAGAACAAAGTGATGAAGGCATTCATACGACTGACCTCTATAAACACAACTCTTTTGTCTTCTACCACAGTTTTGAAATGCAGCTGGAGGCCAGTAAATGAGAGGATGAAGAAAACCCTCTGCAGACTATCTACACAAATTTATGAGGCCGCAAAAGCAGTAGCCTAGGCACCACTTTGTTCAACTCCTAAGTTTAAAAGTAGCAACAAGTTCACCTTCCATCTCAGTAAACAGACACAAAAATCGATTCACGGTTCCAAATGTATACTCACCCAGAAGAGAAGGTTGAAAACAAACATTAGGTACTTGATACACTGCAGGCAGTTGTGAGCCATGCTGCACCTCTTCAGTTCTAGGAGAAAAATAAATGAGAGATCCAGGTAAAAGACAACGTACTTGTTTCCCTTGGGGGTCGTGTACTTAGCCTTGGTGGCCTTCGGGCCAGGGTTGGTATGAAATCCAAAAAAAGAGTTGCTGGCAGCCCCAAACTGGCCACCATACATGCTGCTGTATCGACGGAAGGCGCCATTTGGGAAACTGTAATCCTTGCTGTCCAGGGAAGGGCTCCTGTGATAGGTGGACTCATCGGTGCTGGACCTGCGCATGGTGGCTTCAGCTGTCCCGTTCCTGCTGCTCTGACAGCCGTGGGTGAAAGGTTGGTGATATTCCTTCCTTCCTTCTCCTCGCTAAGAATCCCCTATTGCTTTGCACCAGCTGTTCTTTCCTCTGCCATCCTGCCAAGGAGTTACGCGTGCTGTGCGGCAGCAAAGTTGGTGAACTGAAGTCTGCTTAGCCAGAAGTTAGGGAGCAGCGTGCTTCCACATGAGAAAGACTTCTGCACAAGTAAACATTCCCGTCACTGTCACGATCTTCCCTCCCGGGCCACCCCGCTATCAGGGAAGGAAAAATCAGACAGAGATCTACTGTACCCAGAGCAAAGAATTTTAAAAAAAGGAACCGTGACCTCGCTCGGCTCGCAAATGCCGTACAAAACCCCGGCTCCGCATGCCACACACAGACAAGAGAGTGCCGCTGCCCGAGACCCGCGGCCGGCAGGCAGGGGCAGGATTATCCGACAGGCGAGCCGCTGCCGAGGCGCTTTCCCGCCGGCCGCATCGCTGCGCCCCGCGCCGCCGGACTCACTGGGCGCATTCCCGCATCCCGCTCCCGCGGCGGCCGCCTGTGGAACGCCGGCCCCGGCGCTCCATTCCCGGCGCGGCCGCCCCTCCTCCGAGCGCCGCGCCAATGGCGCTGCCCGCCCCCCGGCCCGGCCCGGCCCCGGCCCGCCCTCACAGCCCCGCCCGGGCCGCCGCTCCCCCCCGCCCCCAAACCCTGAGCGCGGCGCGGAGCCCGACCTGGGCCAGGTGGCTTTGCGGGGCTGCCCGGTGCTCAGGCGGCGCTGCCGAAAGGAACGGAGTAACTGCGTGCAGTGGAGGATTCGTACGCAAAAGCGCTGGGGATGCTCCGCGGGGAGCGGGGTCAGGACGCACCGTGCTCCCCTTGCCGGAAGGCTCGTTTGTTCCGCGGCAGATCCATTACCGGGATGCTCCTAATTCGCTCCGTCCCACGGAATCATCACTCAGCACCGCGTATGGCCAGGTCATTTGTCCCCTGTCAGAACGCACTGATCGGCATCAAGCTCCGTACCCTGGGGAGCACTTCCCTAAAATCTGACAGCTCCCACAGGCATAAAAGAGTTGAAAATGTGCCACACACAACTTTTTCGGGAAGGAAATATCTTACTGAAACTGTGGCAATTACAGTATTAATACTCAGGATGCAAGACTCATTTACCATCTTTGCCCCAAACTCCCTGTGCAAGTAATTCACTTGTCTCTGCATGTGCCACCTCCTTATCTGTCTGCCTCCCTCTCTGTCTGCCCTTTGATTTTGACTGCAGCCTACTGAAACTACATCAAAAGATGGCTGGCTAACATTTTTTTAAAACGCCTGCCCAGCAGAGAATTAATCAAGATGAAAACAGATTTCCTTCCTGAAGCATCTTGCCAGTCTCAGCACAAATCAAGAGACATGGGCACCAATTAATTAAAGAACAAATTAGTAAAAGTAAAATGAGCTGGTTTTGCACATAGCCTAAGCAGTTCGCCCCTGCAAACCACCCTCTAATTCTGTTAATTTACAAACTGCAAACTTAGAGTCTAATTATTTCTCTTCATTTCCTCCACAAACTATAAATACACTGACCATACCTGGTGCAAGCTTTAGAAAGAAAGAACCTGAGCACAAAACACAAGGGTAATAACTCCTGCACCATCTGGCTCAGTAACTTTGATGAGTTACCACTTCCCAGTTTTTGATTTCTCTACCTCCAAAATTAGCTTTCTACTCCCCTCCCTTTCCTGCACAATATGAATTCTGTCCCCCTTAAAGGAATCTTCCTTCCCTAGCGAATAAAGATGGTCCAATGGAAGCAGATCTGTTCTCAGAATTCCCAATATACTGTTAATTTTTTCCTGTGCTACCAAACACTTCTGCCTCCACCCTTTCTCCTCACCTGTATTACAACTAGACAGTTTAGTAACAGAAACCCAAAAGTCATTCAAATATTTTCTGTGTTTTCTGTCAGTGTGTAAAAATGCCTGTGCACAGAGCACCATACTAAATGGTGAAAGAAAAACTGGGTACAGCTCAGCACACAAATTGTGCTGAAGCAGTGACAAGTCAGATAACTGTGATTTAACAAGGGTGCCCATGGTACTGCATTTAACAGAGGAGAATTTGGCATATTTACCGTAAACTAGACAACTGAAGCCCAAAGGCAGCTCATTGCTATCTGGATAAGAAAAGGGTTAGAAATCACTTGCTTTCCCCTTTCCTGAAGGCAAGAAATCATCAATTCTTAAGAGAATTAAGTCCTTAATACAGTGGAATAATTCATAAAGCCAGGATCTAAGGTAGAAGGAAGAATTTCTAAATGTTTGTTTTAAATAAAAAGTAATAAGCATCAACACACAGTATATATTTCAGACAGATGCAGAAAATGTTTGAGGAAGGCTGAGGTCCTGCATAACCCTTACAATAAAGGGTACTTTCTCCAGCCTCTTTTTACCATCATCTTGTAGCACACCTCATGGAAATGACAACTTTTTTAAGGCACTTAAGTGTAAAATGTAGTTCTCAAATAGTTGCTGTCCTTTCTCATGACAATAACAACAGCTAATTAGAAACAGAGTCATTTAGTAAATAGGCATTACAATCATTCTTTTATTAAATCTTCCACACCAGGAAACCCAGTCAGAATCTCTAGCCTAAATGAGAAACCTTTGAGAAAGCAGTGTTGCACCAACAAGCTAACTGCAGCTTGGATGACATGCTCACATGAGGGAGCGATGTCCTGCAGGGGGACTGGGGGAAATCAATGAATGGAGAAGGGCTGGTGAACTCTACTCTTGCCCATCTCTGGTGTGAAGTGAATGGAAAGGGCATGCTGGGACCCATGCTGACATTTTAGCTGTTTAACAATAAAGTGATGTGTGAACCAAGAAGAATAAACTTTGGAAGCATTGCATCACTGGGGCATTGTGTCTAAAGGGTGACCCAAAGGACAGGCAAATTAGAGCTTTCACAAAACTTTTTGTTAATGACTGAACCTAAAATCACGGTGTGGACCTAGTGACCTCCGTTCACCTCTGCTTAACATCTATTTTTTCTCTCCCCAGCTGCATCTCTATATTCCCATCCTGTGGCCAATTCATATTGATTCCTCTACACAAGAAAGCAAGCACTGTGCAGTCTCGCCAGCAGAGGTTCAATTTGTATTGATTCTGGTGGCACACTACCATTTAGGTTATAACAACTCTGTCCCTACCACTTTAAGTGGAGTGCTGGTAACCCTTCACTGACTCCTGCCAAAACCCTGGCCCTGAAAGAGAAGAGGCAGCAGTCTCACTGTAATGACAGCAGGTGAACTCCAGGCAATAAACTGTGAAAGGCTTGGGCATCAGGGACAGATCTCTTAACTCTGTTATCCCTCACACCCTTTCTCTGAGCAGCCCCAGCTTTCACCTGAAGACACCCAGCCCACACTCTGCACCTCACCCTGAGCTGCAGCCACCACAGACCCCACACCACCTCCCTTATTATTTTGAATACTGCTTTCTCTTCTTCCACCATGATTTAACACTCATGACCACAAGACATCAGTGCCTTCAGCTCACACAAAATGCAGCACTAATTAACCTCTTCATTAATTTAGTCTCCTAAGTCCTTTAGTGGTTGCGCTGGTTTTCCCCTATTAATGCCTCTTGTCACTATCTTCAAAATTCTGCATACCTACTCCATCCTCCTAATGAAACAACTCACTTTGAATTAACCTCAGTAGACGTTGTTAAGTGACCCACAAAATAAAAATTTTAAGAACCCTGCTAGAAGGTATTAGTGAAATACACTATATAAAACAGGGTGTGGATGTGACAACTGCTCCCATTCTGCAACAGAGAAGTGTGCAAAGGCATGCATGGGACAGGTGACATCAGTCCCAGTAGCTTCAGTGAACAACATGACTAAGATCAAACATTACTACAAGAGTGGCATCTTCTTGTGAGTTATTAGCTTTGCTTCACACCACAGCACTGAAATCAGCTAAGGGTGATCAATTGGTGAATACACTCCAAATGATCAACTTTTTAATTTCATGTACATACAGAGATCACCACAGAAAAGTGTTAATCAAACCTGTCTGGCCCTGCTTGTCTTTTCCTTCAGCAACATGCGTGGAGAGAAATCCCTTGTTTGCTCACCCAGTGCACTCTTTGCAGCTACTGTTTGGTTAATTTGATTCAGTGGTGCAGGTTTTATAAAAATTGCACAGCTTCCAAAAATCTAAGAGAAACATCTCTTCTGACTGGAGGGTGAACCAAAGTTCAGGGCCAAGCTGGCTGTTTCAGCTAGGAGGAAAAAAAGCCTTGTGATGGAGTCTTTGATTTGTTTGCTTTTGTATATTCATTTTGCATGAGTATAAATGACTAAAAGAGCAAAGCAAAGAGAGTGAGGATATGATTTTTACCTGTCAGCCTCACGCTGCCACAGGTTTTCAGTCTCTGCTCAACCATGCCCAGGACTGTTTAGTGTCTCTAAGTGACAGAGTGGGATCCAGCACACCCTCACCAGATTTGCAGATGCCAGCAAGCTGAGTGGTGCAGTCACCACACCTGAGGGATGGGATGCCCTGCACAGGGATCTGGACAAGCTCTGAAAGTGGGCCCATGGAAACCTCATGAGATTCAGCAAGGCCAAGTGCAGGTGCTGCACCCTGGTTTGGGGCAACCTCTAGCATCAGCCCAGGCTGGGGGATGAAGGGATTGAGAGCAGCCCTGCCCAGAGGGACTTGGGGCTACTGGCCAGCATGGCCAGCAGGTTGAGGTGGGGGATTCTGCCCCTCTGCTCTGATGAGAGCCCATGTGGAATAGTAGATCCAGCTCTGGAGTCCTCAGTTCAAGGAAGACATGGACCTCGGGACGGGGCCACAAAAGCAACCAGAGGCCTGGAACACCCTCCCTAATGGGAAAGACTGAAAGAGTTCAGGTTGTTCAGCCTGGAAAAGAAAAGGCTTCAGGAAGACCTCACTGCAGCCTTTCAGTATCTAAATGGGGCTTAAAGAAAGATGGGGGCAGGCTTTTTCATAGGACCTGGAGCCATGGGATAAGGGGTAATGTTTTTAAACTAAAAGATAATAGATTCAGACATCATATATAAGGAAAATTGTTTCACAGTGAGATGATGAAATACTGGAGGAAGTTGCCCAAAGAAGTTGTAGATGCCCCATCCCTGGAAACATTCCAGGTCAATTCAAGCAGCAATCAACAGGTTTCCTCCCTCAATCCTGCTCTCTCCTAAAACTTCACATGGTGCAATGAGCCTGCACATGTTGCCAAAGACTTTAAGCAAGGTGCAAGTGGGTCAGGAGGGGAGCCATAAAGCCAGCTCCCAAACCAAACACCAGACATGTTAAAGCACTCTCTAAAAAACAGGCAAATCCAGCAATATCAGTTCTCCTCTGGGCTGCAAGTCCTTCAGCTCAAAGAGTAGGACCATGGGGCTGTAAGCTGAGGAAATCTCTAGAATCTTTTGTTTTCAAAAGAAATAGGAATGTTTTTAATAAGTGAAACAGAAGACAGTATGCTTCCCTGCAATCTCAAACTTATCACACACCTAAG